CACCAGTGTGAGGGAGGCCCTACAACACCAGTTAGGCCCCACAACACCAGTGAGGAGGCCTTACAACACCAGTGAGAGAGGTCCGACAACACCGGTGAGAGAGGCCCAACAACACAGTGAGAGAGGTCCTACAACACCAGTGAGAGAGAGGCCCTACAACACCAGTGAGAGAGAGGTCCTATAACACCAGTGAGGGAGGCCTTACAACACCAGTGAGAGAGGCTCTACAACACCAGTGAGAGAGGCCCTACAACACCAGTGAGGGAGGCCTTACAACACCAGTGAGAGAGGTCCGACAACACCAGTGAGAGAGGAGCCCTACAACACCAGTGAGAGGCCCTACAACACCTGTGGAGAGGTCCTACAACACCAGTGAGGGAGGGCCTTACAACACCAGTGAGAGAGGCTCTACAACACTAGTGAGAGAGGCCCTACAACACCAGTGAGGAGGCCTTACAACACCAGTGAGAGAGGTCCGACAACACCAGTGAGAGAGGCCCTACAACACCAGTGAGGAGGTCCTACAACACCAGTGAGAGCGGCCCCACAACACCAGTGAGAGAGGTCCTATAACACCAGTGAGAGAGGCCTTACAACACCAGTGAGAGAGGCTCTACAACACCAGTGAGAGAGGCCCTACAACACCAGTGTGAGGAGGCCTTACAACACCAGTGAGAGAGGTCCGACAATACAGTGGAGAGGCCTCACAACACCAGTGAGAGAGGCCTACAACACCTGTGGAGAGGTCCTACAACACCAGTGAGGAGGCCTTACAACACCAGTGAGAGAGATCCTATGCACCTGTAGAAGGTCACAACACCAGTGAGGGAGGCCTTACAACACCAGTGAGAGGCTCTACAGCACTGGTGAGAGAGGCCTACAGCACCAGTGAGGAGGCCTTACAGCACCAGTAGAGAGGTCCGACAGCACCAGTGAGAGAGGCCTACAGCACCAGTGAGGAGGTCCTACAGCACCAGTGAGCGGCCCTACAGCACCCGAGTGAGAGGTCCTATAACTGCAGTGAGAGAGGCCTTTACAGCACCAGTGAGGCTCACCCAGCACCAGTGAGAGAGGCCCTACAGCACCAGTGAGGAGGCCTTACAGCACCAGTGAGAGAGGTCCGACAATGCAGTGAGAGAGGCCTACAGCACACCAGTGAGAGAGGCCCTACAACACCTGTGGAAGGTCCTACAGCACCAGTGAGGAGGCCTTACAGCACCAGTGAGAGAGATCCTATAGCACCAGTGAGAGGCCCTACAGCACCAGTAGAGGCCCTACAGCACCTGTGAGAGAAGTCTACAACACCAGTGAGAGAGATCCTATAGCACCAGTGAGGGTCCTACAGCACCAGTGAGAGGGGCCTACAGCACCAGTAAGGGAGGTCCTGCAGCACCAGTGAGACAGGTCACACAGCACCAGCGAGAGGTCTATAGCACCAGTGAGGGAGTCCTACAGCACCAGTGAGAGGCCTACAGCACCAGTGAGGCCTACAGCACCAGTGAGGTCACCACAATACCAGTGAGAGAGGTCCTACAACACCCAGTGAGCGAGGCGCTACAACACCGAGGAGGCCCTACAACACGTGAGAGGTCTACAACACCCGAGTGAGAGAGGCCTACAACACCAAGTGAGAGGTCTACAGCACCAGTGAGAGGCCCTACAGCACCAGTGAGAGAGGTCCTACAGCACACCAGTGAGATAGGTCCTACAACGCCAGTGAGAGGTCCTACAACACCAGTGAGAGAGGCCCTACAACACCAGTGAGAGGTCCTATAGCACCCAGTGAGAGAGGTCCTAAGAACACCAGTGAGAGGCCCTACAACACCAGTGAGAGGGTCCTACAACACCAGTGAGAGAGGCCCTACAGCACCAGTGAGGGAGGTCCTACAGCACCAGTGAGAGGCCCTACAGCACCAGTGAGAGAGGTCCTATAACACCAGTGAGAGAGGCCTTACAGCACCAGTGAGAGAGGCTCTACAGCACCCAGTGAGAGAGGCCCTACAGCACCAGTGAGGGAGGCCTTACAGCACCAGTGAGAGAGGTCCGGCAATACCAGTGAGAGGCCTACAGCACCAGTGAGAGGCCTACAGCACCTGTGGAGAGGTCACAAGCACCCAGTGAGGGAGGCCTTACAACACCAGTAGAGAGAGATCCTATAGCACCAGTGAGAGGAATGGCCTACAGCACCCAGTGAGAGGCCTACAGCACCTGTGAGAGGGTCCTGCACAAGTGAGAGAAGTCCTATAACACCAGTGAGAGAGGTCTACAGCACCAGTGAGAGGGCCCTACAGCACCAGTAAGGGAGGTCCTGCAACACCAGTGAGACAGGTCCTACAGCACCAGCGAGAGGTCCTATAGCACCCGGTGAGGGAGGTCCTGCAGCACCAGTGAGAGAGGCCTACAGCACCCGGTGAGGGAGGCTAGCACCAGTGAGAGAGAGGTCCTGCAATGCCAGTGAGAGGGTCCTGCAGCACCCGGTGAGCGAGGCGCTACAGCACCCGGCGAGGGGCTACAGCACCAGTGAGAGGGTCCTACAGCACCAGTGAGAGAGGCCTACAACGCAGTGAGAGGTCCTATAACACCAGTGAGAGGTCTAAAACACCAGTGAGAGAGGCCCTACAGCACCAGTGAGAGGTCCTACAGCACCAGTGAGAGGCCCTACAGCACCAGTAGAGATAGGTCCTACAGCACCAGTGAGAGAGGCCTACAACACCAGTAAGGGAGGTCCTACAACACCCAGTAAGGGAGGCCTTAAACACCAGTGAGAGAGGTCCTACAGCACCAGTGAGGAGGCCTTACAACAACAGTGAGAGAGACCTACAACACCAATGAGAGAGGCCTACAGCACCTGTGAGAGAGGTCCTACAAAACCGAGAGGCCTTACAGCACCAGTGAGGAGGCCTTACAGCACCAGTGAGATAGGTCCTGCAAGCGCCAGTGGATGGGTCTACGAAAAGCACCCAGTGAGAGGCCTGGCACCAGTGAGGGAGGCCTACAGCACCAGTGAGAGGTCCTACAGCACCAGTGAGATGGGTCCTGCAACGCCGGTGAGAGGGGTCTACAGCACCGAGTGAGAGGTCCTACAAGCACCAGTGAGGAGGCCCTACAACACCGGTAAGGAGGTCCTCCAACACCAGTAAAGGGAGGCCTTAAAACACCAGTGAGGTCCTACAATACCAGTGAGGAGGTCCTACAGCACAAGTGAGGGAGGCCTTACAGCACCAGTAAGAGGCCCTACAGCACCAGAGAGAGGTCTACAGCACAGAGTGAGGGAGGTCACCAGCACAGGTGAGGAGGTCCTACAACACCAGTGAGAGAGGGCCTAAAGCACCTGTGAGAGAGGCCTACAGCACCCTGTGAGAGAGGTCTAGCACAAGTGAGGAGGTCACAACACCAGTGAGAGAGAGGGCCTAAAACACCAGTGAGGCCTTACAGCACCAGTGAGAGTCCTAAACACCAGTGAGAGAGGCCTACAACACCAGTGAGAGAGGCCCTCACAACACCTGTGAGAGAGGTCCTACAAAACCAGTGAAGGAGGTCCTACAACACCAGTGAGAGAGGTCCTACAACACAAGTGAGAGAGGTCCTACAACACCAGTGAGGGAGGCCCTACAAAAACCAGTGAGAGAGGTCCTACAACACCAGTGAGAGATGTCCTACAACACCAGTGAGAGGCCTTACAACACCAGTGAGAGAGGTCCCACACCAGTGAGAGAGGCCCCACAACACCAGTGAGAGAGGTCCTACAACACCAGTGAGAGAGGCCTTACAACACCCGTGAGAGAGGCCTTACAACACCAGTGAGAGAGGTCCTACAACACCAGTGAAAGAGGCCCTACAACACCAGTGAGAGAGGCCCTACAACACCAGTGAGAGAGGTCCCTACAACACCTGTGAGAGAGGCCCTACAACACCAGTGAGAGGCCCTACAACACCAGTGAGGGAGGCCCTACAACACCAGTTAGAGTTCCTACAACACCAGTGAGAGAGGCCCTACAACACCAGTGAGAGAGGTCCTACAACACCAGTGAGAGAGGTCCAACAACACCAGTGAGAGAGGTCCTACAACACCAGTGAGAGAAGCCCTACAACACAGGTGTGAGAGAGGCCCTACAACACCAGTGAGAGAAGTCCTACAACACCAGCGAAAGAGGCCCTACTACACCAGTGAGAGGTCCTACAACACCAGTGAGAGATGCCATACAACACCTGTGAGAGAGGCCCTACAACACCTGTGAGAGAGGCCCTACAACACCAGTGAGAGAGGTTCTATAACACCAGTGAGAGGCCCTACAACACCAGTGAGAGAAGCCTACAACACAGGTGAGAGAGGCCCTACAACACCAGTGAGAGAAGTCCTACAACACCAGTGAAAGAGGCCCCTACAACACCAGTGAGGGGAGGTCCTACAACACCAGTGAGAGAGGTTCTATAACACCAGTGAGAGGCCCTACAACACCAGTGAGGGAGGCCCTACAACACCAGTGAGAGAAGCCCTACAACACCAGTGAGAGAGGCCCTACAACACCAGTGAGAGAGGCCCCCACAACCCCAGTGAGGGAGGCCCTACAACACCTCCAAGGACACCAGTTCACTGTTCCTGCCTTACAACAGCCACTTCTCAACCACTGTAAATATAACTTTTCTTCACTTCGTATTTTTTGTTCTGTTTTGTACCCATTCTCCAATGTCGCTATACATATAAATCATTTCTGTCTATTGTACATTACATTTACAAATAAACAGACACAGCACAACACAGCATAACACAACACAGCACACAACACAACACACCTTGCATTAAAATCATTGACTCATGTAAGTTATAGACTCTATAACAATGTGTTTAACTCTATAATATAGAGTTTAATACATTGTAGCATTCTGTCATTTGATAAAGACATTAATTACACAGTCAGGAACACATGGGACTTTTTATCACATGTTAAAGTATATGACGATAGGAATTAGGTGTCTGTGTGTGTGTGTGTGAACCTTACCATTCAGGCGTTGACGGCGTCGAGGCGGGGAGTCAGCAGCAGGAGAGAGCATATCCAAGGTCGAGGTCAGGTCAATAACATCACAGGGGAGGAGGGACGAGTCGGTCACCTGCCATTGAGTCACGCGCCCATCCAGTGACACAGAGTACAGACTGTGTCTATCCTGGGCCTCTGTCTCTATCCACCGCACCTGCAACACACATAGGTTAATATGTGTCCATCCATCACACCTGTAACACGTCTAACATGTTTCTATCCGCCACACCTGTAACACGTCTAACCTGTGTCTGTCCAACACACCGGTAACACGACTAACCTGTGTCTGTCCAACACACCTGTAACACGTCTAACCTGTGTCTATCCACCACACCTGTACCACGTCTAACCTGTGTCTATCCGCCACACCTACAACACACCTGACCTGCCCACCCCACGTCTAACCTGTGTCTATCCACCACACCTGTAACACTTTAACCTGTGTCTATCCACCACACCTACAACACACCTGACCTGCCCACCCCACGTCTAACCTGTGTCTATCCACCACACCTGTAACACTTTTAATCTGTGTCTATCCACCACACCCTACAACATACCTGACCTCCCCACCCCACGTCTAACCTGTGTCTATCCACCACACCTCTAACACGTCTAACCTGGTATCCACCACACCTACAACACAACAACCTGCCAACCCCACGTCTAACCTATGTCTATCCACCACACCTACAACACAACTGACCTGCCCACCCAACGTCTAACCTATGTCTATCCACCACACCTACAACACACCTGACCTGCCAACCCCACGTCTAACCTGTGTCTATCCACCACACCTACAACACACCTGACCTGCCCATCCCACGTCTAACCTGTGTCTATCCACCACACCTTCAACACACCTGACCTGCCCACGCTACGTCTAACCTGTCTATCCACCACACCTACAACATACCTGACCTGCCCACCTCACGTCTAACCTGTGTCTATTCACCACACCTTCATCACAACTGACCTGACCACCCCACGTTTAACCTGTATCTATCCACCACACCTACAACACACCAAACCTTCCCACCCCACATCTAACCACACTCGATTCAAAAAATTATCTTTGCGATTTTGTGTGAGACAATATTATGACACAGCGGACGAAGGATTTTGACAACCCTACCGAGACAACAGGAGTCGCAGTGTTCATTCTGAAATTCATGGGACCTCCCCTAACGACCTCAGGCCAGTTGCCATTACCCCCATACCTAGTCTACTTTGTGAGGACTTTGTTTTTGAGTGGGCATTTGGCAATATGAGGACCTCCTCTACATCACACTGCTTGGTGAGCTTTCTGGATTTTCTGCACAAAAACTTGCAGAAACGTAGGACATCACTGGCCGTTGCCCTTGTGGACTTCAGGAAGGCCTTTGACCTTGTTGATCACTGCACCCTTATCAACAAGGCTATTGCACTAGGGCTGCCCACCAACCTGGTCTCATGGCTCACTGATTTCTTGAGTGGACGTCGCCAGGCAGTGAGGTATCAGGGCTTGGTCTCCACATTCCAACACCTCACCTGCGGTGTTCCCCAGGGTACCAAGATGGGACCACTGTGCTTCCTCATCCTGATCAACGACGCTCTATCGGACACTCCTCACAGGTGGAAGTACGTGGATGACTGCACTGTGGGGGTTTCAGTGGACAACACCGCACCAGACTACTCATCGCTACAAGGCACCCTGGAAAGGCTACAGGCATGGACCATGGAGAACAAGGTCACCATCAACCACACCAAAATCGTAGTCATGCACATCAATACCGCCACCACTCCAGTGCAAGCCCCAGCAGTCACAGTGGGTGCCCATCCTCTCCAGATGGTGCAGTCTGCCAAACTCCTGGGTGTAACCATAGACAACAAACTTGACTGGAAGGCCCATGTAAATAACACAGTCAAGGCAGCCTCGTACCGTCTCTACATGCTACGACGACTTAGGTCACTTGCGACACCCACGCCAGAGCTGAGGACCATCTACAACGCCTTTATTCTCCCCAAACTAACGTATGCGTCACCAGCCTGGTCGTCTTCTCTCAACTCCACCCAACAACTTCAGCTAGAGAAGGTACAGAAAAGGGCCTGCAGAATCATGCTCAGCGCAGAATGCTCTGGCTACACCAACGCTCTCTCCACCCTGGAAATGCCATCCCTCAGTGACCTCCACCACCAAGCACTGGAAAGGTTTGGCAGTGAACTACTGCACCACCCTCGTCATTGCCACCTCCTGCAGCCCCCCACCCAACTCACGCAGTCCGCCACTACAACAAAATTCAGCCCATAAGAGCCCGCACCAATAGATATAAGAACAGCACCATCCCATCTATTGTTAAAATAATAAACAACTCCTGATTTATGTACTGTACAGCCCTGTAAATGTATTCAATGCATTTTATATCATTATGTCTAAATCAAATGTAAGTCTGTATATTTTCAGCCACCGGCTGCAACTCTATTAATAAACCGTTATTATTATTATTATTATTATTATACATACATACATACATACATACATACATACATACATACATACATACATACATACATACATACATACATATATACATACATACATATATACAACATACAATAATACATACATACAACATACAATAATACATACATACAAACATACATACATCCTTGACCACCGGAGGGTCAAGACCTATCAAGCACTACTCCTGCTTGGCCAATGTCGGCCCATTCCTTCTCCCCGACCCATCCTCACTACCGGGATATCAACGTAATCAAAAGCGACAATTTCGTTTCGGAAAGAAGTGAATTCAGCACTAGACAGTACCAGTGAGAGCAGTGACCCACCAGTGAGATAAGCACCACTGGGAACCGACCACCATCTTCTGACCAGGCAGTGTTAATCAGTCCACCATGGGAACAATAGTGGGTTGGCTTTACACCTGACTACAAGATAATACAACACCACCCAGCAGAGAGTGAGGTACTGTGACACCACACCACACCACACGGTGTCTCCATGACCACGTGAGGTCCTTCATATCAACACCCGATGACGAGTTACTACACCACGTGAACACCACACCACCTAGTGTTTCAATGACCAGCCCAGGCCCGGGCCATCAACTGTAAACTATAATAATTTGTTTGTTCAATTCATGTTCTTTCTCCTTTTAGTAATGAAAGATTTTGTTAAACGACCCACCCACCCCATGTCTTTGTACAGTATGTAATAAGTCATTTTTATCCAATATATATTTTCAGCCTTCGGGCTGCTGAACTTTTCAATAAACTGTTAATTATGGTTATCAGCATATATATATAAATATATATATATATATATATATATATATATATATATATATATATATATATATATATATATATATATATATATATATATATATATATATATATATATATATTATTATTATTATTACAAACATACCCGTGTGACAGGATGGAGGTGTTTGCCATTCCCAGGTGTGGAGTAGATGATTGTGGGTGAGTGGACAGAGGTAACATCGTATACTACCACAGTGCCATCGTTCCACCCGGCACTCACCATGTTCCCGTACTACCACAACCACCACAGAGAAACAGAGAATGCCTCAGTAAGACGTCAAACAAACAAACAAAATATAATAATAAATAAATATATGTAATATTCAGAAATTTCAGTGTAATTTCAAACGCCGCGCCATTGGCGATGCTGAGCTCAAGGTCGTCTGAGGGAAGACCGCTCTCCCGCTACGAGCGAGAGTTTGTGGAACTAGGCCTAAACGATATTAAATGTAATTTACCGAGTTAATAGGGACGCGAATCATGAAATTAAATATCAGTTATTAAATTGGAAATAATTATAGATCGTTTCCCAGTCTGAAAATGTTATGTATGTCCTAATTAAGCTGTTAATCGTCTGGTAAATAAGTCACTCCTGGAAAGCGTGAACCAGTGAGCAAGAGTGGCTGGGGAGTTGTGAGAGAGGTCAAGGACCACCTCTGTGCTGTACCCAGGAGAGACGAATCGCATGACCAGGTTCCTTCGTTTATTTAGCATCAGTATTAACAAGTAAGTTTTATTCAATCTCAGACAAAGCTAGACGGGCGTTAGGAACAAACGGTGATGTGAGACAATAGCTAACAGCCCGGGTTTTTCAGGGTACTGTAGACCCCACACGGTATGATAACGTCCACTGGCGGTATGAGACACGAGTGGTGAAGCGAGCTGTATGACCGTCCACTGACCAGGGTTTGAGCCACCTGTTGAATATGGTGAGAGTTGGAGTGAACCCAGCTGTCTAGGTGCCCAACTAACGATGTGACGATCGTTTGGGGTCATCAGCTCTCCTCTACCTCGGCTCACAATACCACATATCTTCAAACAGCTTAGTGAAAACCTTTTACTATCGGGAAGCTAAAGCTTCTCTCAACTGTACAAGGTCTGAGTGGCTCACTCCCTTCCGTTTCATGGATGTACTGGGGGTAAAGTGAAGCCAGCTGAGTGACACAGGGTCACACACTGGGACCAAGAATCCAGTGGAACTTAGAGGTACATTTCCAAGGTTGAGAAAGGCTGGTTTGGGCCTTAAACTATGGGTGCCTGTTGGTTGTGCCTTAAAAAGCTACGGAGTGCAGGTGGAATCTATGTGTTAGGTTAGGAAGCATGGTTCACGGATATTGGTGGACTCAGTAACTTCTTAATATTAGTGATAATATTTTTGTGTGTAGTTAATACTATTTTTTCAGTTACTGATGTTGTCTTGCTGTGTGTAGTTAATATTTCTTAAATAATTTTGAGAGTATTGTTTTTTAATGTCTGTGTCATTAATTGAAGCCAGAGAATGAGGGAACTGTTTTTCAGATGAGTTTTCTCCCTTGTGTTGCAAATGATACTGTGATTTAGTTCCTTTAATGCATTTAATATTTCTTTATAATTTCAATCTCAAGTATAACCTTTGTTCCCTAGAGTAGTGTTTAAGTTAGGTTAGGAAGTGTGCATCTGTTGGGGTAATATAATTTTGTTGAGTGCCCTGAAGGCCTATTCAGGGTGGAGTTAATAAGTTCTTATTTTTTTATACCATTTTCTCAGTGCTTGATATAATTTTGTTGAAAGCCCTTAAGACCTGTTCCATGTGTGTAAGCAACACTTCTTAATACTGTGAATTTATTGTTGTCTAATGAGACATTGTCTTGAGTTTCTAATAATTTCAATATCTTGTATAACTTTTATTCCCCAAAGTAGTGTTTTAAGTTCAGGTTAAGAGGTGCGCATATGTTGGTGTACCATTATTTGATTATGTCTGCAGTGTTGGAGGGAATATAAGTGTCTAAATTTTACAGTGTGTCTAATTCATCCCAGTCACAGACGCTATCCTTCCACGGGTCACGGAGAATTCATTTTGTTAGTAAATTTAAGTGTTCTTGTGCTGGTTCGGGATTTCTCTCCAAGGGGCGCTTCCAATGCAATTACCATCTAATAATATTTAATAAACTCCAAGTTAAGTGAGATTTAAAGGTCCAGTAATTCCGACCGATTACATATATATCAAATAAAAAAATAAATGTAAATAAAACTCATTCACATTTGCACCTGTGATTTAAGTACAAGTGGTGTACCTTGGGGTGTAGGTGTACTGTACCTTGGGGTGGAGGTGTACTGTACCTTGGGGTGTAAGTGTACTGTACCTTGGGGTGTAGGTGTACTGTACCTTGGGGTGGAGGTGTACTGTACCTCGGTGTAGGTGTACTGCACCTTGGGGGTGGTGTAATGCACCTTTTGGGGTGTAGGTGTACTGTACCTGGGGTGTGGTAGGTGTACTGTACCT